TCTAGGATGCCGTATCTGTGTGGTTGTGTGGCTGGCGCTCGCGCTCTGGGATGCCGTAACCGTGTGGTTGTGTGGCTGGCGCTCGCGCTCTAGGACGCCGTATCCGTGTAGTTGTGTGGCTGGCGCTCGCGCTCGAGGATGCCGTATCCGTGTGGTTGTGTGGCTGGCACTCGCGCTCTAGGATGCCATATCTGTGTGGTTGTGTGGCTGGCGCTCGCGCTCTAGGATGCCGTATCTGTGTGGTTGTGTGGCTGGCACTCGCGCTCTAGGATGCCATATCTGTGTGGTGGTATGGCTGGCGCTCGCGCTCTAGGACACCGTACCTGTGTGGTGGTATGGCTGGCACTCGCGCTCTAGGATGCCGTATCTGTGTGGTTGTGCTGTTGGGTGATGTTTGCAGCCTGAGGGGTGCCTGTACCTGCCTTGTGCAGCCCTGTTTCCATTGGTCCCAGTTCCGTGAAACGCCGCCCCATCCAGCCCAGCCCTAACCAGGGTCTGACTCTGCAGCAACTCCACTGAGCTCAATGGCCTCGCTCCCGCTTTACACCCGAGCAGAGTCAGACCCAACAATCCCTGCAGCTTCCACTCTAAAATCAAGCTGCTGCCTGCTGTGTGGCTGGCCGACCAAGCGGTGGCGCGGGCCCACAGTGGCACAGCCCTCAAAGCCAGCAGGAGACAGAGGCAGGTTAGATTCAGGAACTGACAGGCGCTTCCCACAGGCTTCTGCATTTTGCTATTTTTAATTACAGAATTAGCAAGGCCACCACGGCCTTTGATGCCTTTACATACGATCGTCAGGAGTGTATTTATAGAAGCGTTGCACGTTGATGTTAACAGCTTCTCCCATAAAAGCATCGGGGGTGAAGCTGCTCTCACCTCCCTGGAGCTGGGAAGGAAAAGGTGGCAGGATGCATTCAAAAGGGGACAGCAAGATGATGGCACCCTGGGGAAGTATGAAAATCTTCCCTGCAGCAGGGATCCAGGGTAATCCTAGCTCGCCGTCCTTCCAACCCAAAGAACATAATCGGATATACAAAGTATATGCCAGGATCACCGAAATGCAGCCTCCTCTGGGGCGGGGCATAGTAGCTGTTTAAAAGCTGCGCAATAATGGTCTACTGGAATATCAGTGCTGAAATGCAGCCACCTCTGGGGTGGGGCACAGCAGCTGTTTGACAATGCACAGCAATACTACAAAGGATTTGCTCATCAAATGACGAAATGCAGCCATTTCTGGGAATGGAGGCGACATGACCATTTAACTGGGTTACGCAATGGTTTTGTCACTCTGCCTAAGCATTTCTAATTGGACCATCACCATGAATGGGGCTGTGAAATGAATGGGATTACCACATCTAACTGCAGCAGAGGGACACAATGGAAGTACTGGTGAGTCAGGATCTGGCTGGGACTTCACACTTAGCACCTCCATCAGGAGCTTTAATAGACACACATAGTCAAGACCTTGGTTGGTACGTCTCATTCTATGGATAGCAACACGCTGGACCACTGTGGTCAAACCCCCTGAAACGCATCACTCCCTGCCTCACCCTTAGCTGTCTCCCATCCACCCTACAGACCCAGCATGATGCTACTTCGCTCACAAGCAATGCTAGGGTCACAGCACAAGTGGTATCACAGCATTATTAAGAAAAAGTGAAAACAGGTGTAGGGGATCGACTGAAACATTGTCCAAACGAGACAGCATCACGCAAAAGCAGCTAGAAGCAGCCAATTCTCCAGCGCTCAGCACCTTTAATCAAGACTGGATGTCTTTCTAAAACATACCCCCTAGTTCAAACAGGAATGGGTTCTCTGGCCTGTGTGCCGCAGAAAATCAGACTCGATCATCAGAACGGTCCCTTCCGGCGCTCAAATGTATGAAATAAGGCTCCATAGCAGGACCCTGCTGTTTCTTCTTTCTGTGGGGTCTAGATCTGGGGTGTGGGTTTTAAGAACAGGTTAGACCAACACAGGTCAGGGGTGGTCTAGATATTCTTAAACCTGTCCCAGTGCGGAGGGAGGGACTACATGACCTCATGGGGTCCCTTCCATCCCTACATTTCTTTAATTCAAGTCCAACCCCAGTGCGAAGTAAATCTGATCCTTAACATCATATGTATTATAATCCAAGGTGTCTGTAGCGGGGGGAAAAGGATTTTCAGCCTGACAGTGGCCATTTGGTCTGTTCTTGTCGATTGTACTGATTGACTGGTGCCAAAATCTCCACGGCCTGATTCTCCTCTCACTTAGGGCTGTCAGAAGTTAACCACACATGCACCATTGTCCCCGACCCTCTCTGGCCGAAGGGATCCAAGGGCCCACTAGGTGTGCTGAGCCGAGGGGAGTGGGAACCAGAGCATCTTAGAAGGCCAGGTGAAAGTCCAGAGCCTGACTGGAGGGGTGAGGAGGCCATGAGAATGGAGAGCCATTGGGGTGGGTCTAGCAGGAGCCGTAGGACACTATCTGCTGAAATAGGGACTTTTAGGGTATGTCTACGCTGCAGCTGGGAAGGTGGCTCCTCGCCTGGGCAGACAGCCGTGCCCTAGCTCTGCTCAAGAGTCCACACTAAAAACAGCAGTGTGGACGCTGTGTCGTGGGCAACGACTTGG